TATTTTCTTAACCAACCAAAGTAGGGTGCACACATTGCAGAAGTTGGCTTGTGGTTAAAGATAAGTATTTAATGGAAACACTTCCACATGTATATAGTGGCTCATTAAACTATTTCTAGATATTTAATGTGCTTCTATTTCCACAAATTAACTTGAACCCTCTTTGCTCTCTAGCATCTTGAATGTGTTGGAGTTTTTTAACCCTTTTTATTTTCCCTTCCTGAGTCCACATTTAATCCAAATGCTGCATTCCTTGATTACTAAGACTTCAAACCCCAGGAACATATTTGTTGTTACCAAACTTTGATCATGAAGTTGGGCAAGTCCCAGATTATTTTTATTTTTATTTTTTTTTTAGCTCAGCCTTTTAGTTCTTTGTGTGTTTTATTTGTGCACACTTTACTTGTTTAAAAACTAAAACCATTTTTTTTCTAATTAGGACAGATCATCCTTCTATTGATCCTTGATTTCTTGAGGAACAAAACACACTTTCCTGGTGCTTTTTCTTAACATACCTATGGTAAAATTAGTTTGTTTCAACAGGAGAAAACCTAACTATTGTGTGCAGTTGGATACAAGTAGAACTGGAGATGGTGGGAAAGCATTTTGGTGCTTTTGCAGATTGCACTGTAATATGATTTTAAAGAAAATTCTTTGTTTATTGTAGTTAAGATAACAAACAGTGCTAGTCCATTTCAATTTTGTTTGTAGGTATTTGTGGTGTTTGGAATATCAAAGGCTTTGCAGTGCTTTAAACCCCACTGGATCTTTCATTTGATTCATGAAACAGATTACAAAAAGGCAACTGTCTAAAAGGTTCGGTAAGAACACTTGAAATATGATATTAACCATTGTTTCTCATTCTGAGAGCATTTTCTGTTGTGGTTTGTGTTTCCTGGGAAGTACTTCACACAGCAGTAGTAAGTTTGCGATTTTTAGTCCCTACTCCTTTCAGTAAGGATTGGCTTTCTTTGTACCTTGTATTTGTTAGGTCTTAGTCTGCAGTGACATGGATATATAGTCATTGTTTCTCTCCAAATGCTTTGGCTCCTCACCGTTGCTCTGATAATTAGTTAAAAGTAGAAGAATTAGTTAAGTATACCTGTGTTAGTTAAATTATATACATACACCTATCCATGAATCTGTTCTTTTGACAAAGGCTATGGAAGCACATGTCTTTCAGTGTCTCTGCTGGTGGTGCCCAGGTGATTCAGGTGTCAAGAAGGGAGAGTACAGTAAGGGGTGGACAGAGAAGGGACGGCATCTGAAAAGAATAGGATCAGAAGGAAAAGAGGAGCTGGCCATAGTTTCAAGCACTGGAGAGGATTCGGTGCTAGGAGCTGAGTATTTGAGCAAAGAAGAGGATGGCAGAAGTTTTGTACAGCTGAGGGACAGCATCCAAATTCCAAAAGGTATCTGCTGTCTGTAAATAGAAAATTCACTGAGATAAGGGGGTCTGCATAGAGAATAATCGTCTGCATCTGGCAGTGGATGGGTGGTCGTGTTAAAAAAGTAGCATTAGTTTTAGGAGCTCTTAAGCTTTCTTCCTTTGCAGAATTTCAGTGCAAGCTTTCACAGGTCCCTTAACCTCTCCTTACCCATAGGTTTTTCTGTGTCAGTTACCAACTTTACAGAGGCCTTGCATGGATAAATGTATTAAATTACCAGTATCTTAGATGGTTTTGTACTTGTTTGGGTTTTGTTGTTTGTTTTCTTTCATTTTTAATTTTTCTTGCAGATGTGAGGAATAATCTGTATTAAATAAAAAACTCCATCTCCATTTTGTAACTGTGTTTTACATATGGTGTGTTATCCGAAGTTTCTGTAGCTGGAAATCCAGTGTTAAATAATTGCACATTTGCAACTACTCAGGTCTTCTGCTCAACATTCTTATGACTGCTTAGTGCTTAATCTGTAAAGTCAGAATCTGACCTCCAAAGTATTTAAACACATTTTAAGTTGATAACTGTGTTTTCCAAGTTGTCTTCGGCCACCTGTACATAGTCATACATGTGATTCATTTCTTTTAATAAATTTTGCCTCAGCTATTGTAGCCCCATAATGGGATCTCATTGCAAAGTGGTAGATAATTCACTAGGAAGTGGCAGGCAGAAATAGTAGAAATAAAAGAATTAAAAAAAAATTTAAAAGAAATGCAGGTTTCACCATATACATGTACGTAGGAAATAGTCTCCCTTGTTTCTTAGGTTCTCCATCTGACACAGAAAAATTAAGTTCTTTTTTCCAACATTCAAACACCAAGTGTCTCTTACCAACCAAGTTGTGTTCCTTTGAATGCCAAACAAGCCCTTTACAATATTGCTTATAGTCTGGGGAGACTGATTTAGGCATAATTCTGCCTGAAGTACAGGAAATCATCCACACTTGTGCAGAGATTGGTGGCACAATGGTATCCTCTTAATACAGATAAATGTTAATAGCTTTAATATGTGTGATTTGGCTTTGATTGAGAAAATTCTCTTTGGTCAGGATTGCACTTTAGGATGTATTAGATTTAAGTAGCTTTTCTGATTTAATTTTAGAGTTAATAGAGTTAATATTTAAAATTTCGATAATTTGTAAGAAAAATAGCCTGTGCAAGTGACAGCATTTTCCATGGCTGCGAGAAAACTCTGGGACCAAGCAGAAAATTATAGTTCAATTCTCAAAACTTTTCTTACCTAGCAGTTAGTTAATTGGTGTGAGCATCTCGTAAACATGGAAGGCAAGAATTTGATGCTAACAGTGATTTAAAATAAAAAGTCACTTCTCATATTCATTATACGGTTCACTTAAGTTTTGTGGGGTTTTGTTTTTGTAATAGATATTGGTGTACGATGGCCCTGCCATAGTTGTCCTGAATTTATGGCAAGATAAGGGCCCACAGTTTCATGGCAGAAAAGGCACAACTTTGGCTGTTATTTCACCACAAATCTAGGAGAACTGTTAGGCAGATAACTTTCCTGCATGCAGTATTCCAAAGCAGGACTGATACATAAGCTCCTACTTTTACATGCATGTATTTTATGCATAATACTGAAGAGGCTGTGTTTTCAGGCCTCACAGATCTGTGTTTAGTTCTGTAAAACTGATGTTAACTCTGTATGTATCGTATTTTATGTAAAACCACAAGAGTGCCATGGTAGTTTTGACATGGGTGCCCAAGGAAGGTAATAGTTTTGGGTTGGCTCTGACACCAAAATAGTAATCTGCATGTAGCATTCTGTATCTGAATAAAAGCTTTATACTACCAAATGTACAGTGGCCAATTTAACGAAGAGTGCTTTTTCTTCCCAATTAATGTATTTTTCGGAAGAAGAAGAAAAAGAAAAGCAAAACTTTACTGTAATCTTTTAAGACCTAAAACGTATTTTTCAGATAGCCTTCGAGATATGCAATCCATGAAGCTTTAACTATTTTTGTACAATTACAGTTTTAGATGAATTATAAACTTTTAAATTAAAATTGCAGGCTTCTCTCTAAGATTCATAAATTAGAGACAGTTGGAAGCAATTTCAAGGGGTAGCTCTACGATGAAAGATTTGCCAAGGGTTTGAATAATGGTGCAAATCAAAATGTAATACTTTTAATGCTGTGTTTGCTACATAAAACACACCACAGTGAATGGGCACTCAATGGGCTGGTAGAAGTATTCAGTTTTAATTTTTGTTGCAGTTCTTCTTGAAAGTGATCATGATACTTAAATATTGCAATGCCCAGAGGTAATATTGTTCTGTGGCCCTTGTAAGACTTGTCTCTATGCAATTTAAACCTCATGTTTATGTAGAAAGTAGCTTTTACCTATGTTCTTTTTGTTTTGGAGCACGTTTTTCAAGCTTTTCAACTGCACACCTGCAAACATGATGGAAGTAGAAAATAAACCTCTCATCTTAACTTTCTCAATGTGAATTCAGACCTGTTCCATAACACTTGTCTTCCTGTTCCCTGAAAGAATAGATGTTGAAAATACAGATTCTAAGTTAACTAGCATCTTGTAGATCTCTGTTCTGGTTCTCTTCTAAGTTTTTCTGTGATGTTGTTTGCTGGGTGTCACTTAAGATCACCTAGTTTTGTATGGGGATTTTCAGTGTCTTTCTACTAGCTTACAAAACTATAACCCAGGAGTGCTCTTACAGAAAGTTTTGATAGATTTTCCCGAGTGTCTTGTTAAGGTTGAGAGGGAAGCATAATTTTGACATGAAAGCTGTTTGAATTGAAAGAACTTAATGTCTGGGTTTCAGTGTAACAGTGAGTGTGGTTACTAGGTTTAGTCTGAACTCTTCCAGAAGAATATATTCCCTCTAAAAAATGCTTATTTGTCAGAATACACACGTTCTTTGATCATGGTAATTTCAACAGAACTCTGATGGCAGCCAAGTATGTTCCGCCTATAGGGTTTAAAGAGCCACTTTGTGAGCTCAAGTCTATAACAGCCCTCTGGCAGGTTACAGAAAGTCACAAATGCAGTGCCTGGAGATAGGTCTTTGGACAGATTCTGCTTTGTGAATTCCCAGTGTCTTGGCTCTGACTCTGACCTAAATGGAGAACTTCAGATAAGTTTTGAGTAAAAAGATGAAATAATATATCTTTTTTTTTCTTAGATTTTTTCCTCAAGAAATGTCAATATTGTTTAATGATTTTTTTTGAGGAAAGAGATTGTGATTTCTGAGTAGTCTGTTGTTTAAAGTGATCCCCAACTTTGAAATAATTGTTTAGTTGAGCTTTCCCCATAAGAGGCGGGAAAGTGCTGTTTCTGATCTATATATACTGGGAGAAAATGAATATAAGTAGAGATCTTTGTGTCAAACACTGAGAAGTCATCTTGCTTGGCTAACAGTTACAGTTCTGTTAAGGACTCTAGTTCTGACTGAATTATGTTTTTGTTTTTTTTTTTTTTTCTTTAAATGCTTACTGTAGTGCATTTAATTCTTACTAAAGCCAGAATAAATTTTATTAAATACAGTTTCCCCTGCACTTACAGTTTTCTACTCTGTCCCTAGATGACCTCAATATGACACATCAGCACTGTGTTCTGGCTGGTTTTTCACCTCGATTCAGCTCAACTCACAGAGTGGCAGAGGTAAGTATCAGTCATTTGTAAAGCTAATGCTCTGGTAAAAATATGTAGCATCATGTTGTCTTACCCAGAACTGTGGTTCACAGTTGTGCTTATGTCTCAAACTATTTTCTTGAACAACTGCTATTTGTTTATTTTTGAATTGAGGTATACTTGTTTCTGTACTGGTAGTTTGACCAAATTCACCTAAGATATGGTTTAACAGTAGTGGCACATCACACCTTGTGGATTACTGATGGAAGCTGTAGCAACAACTGTATTTTCACTTGAAATGTTTTAAAACTTTTTTTCTGTGATCATATCCTGATCCTAGTTGAGAAGCAATATTCGTGATGAGATAGAAATACTCAAAACATGTCATCAGTGTCCACTGGCAAAAGTGTCCTTTAGGAGGTCAAAACAACTAAGAGTATTCATGAGTATGCTTTAAATGGGATCTTTCTGTGCATCTGATGATTAAAGAAGTTGAAAAGTGATAGAGTCACTCGTGTCAGAGTCATTCTGAGAAAACAAGGCTTCAGCATGGTATTCACAAGTGTGAAGACACCTTTTTGGTTTAGTTTTTTATTAAACTAGACCCCTCTTCCCTGTTCTTTTCCATGGTGTTATCAGTGGTTTTGTTAATGTAATGTTCTAATGGGAAAGAATGCAGACAACTAAAACGACAGTATTGTAAAAGGATACTTAAAAGAGTAACAATTGCCACTTTCTTCTTTCAGCAAGGCAAAATGTACTGCTGTTGAAATGAGAGATATATGTATCCATAAACTTCTTTTTTTCCCTCCAATTATTTTTCCTAATTTGTGCAAGAATGGAAATGAAGCAATAGCACCAGACATAGAAATAAACATGCATCCAAGTTGTAACATAAAAAAGGCCGATTTTGCCCAGACAAATACAGATTCTGCTTGCTTGAACTGGACATTGACATAAAGTACACTGTACTTTTTAAAACAAATCATTCTGTGCTCTGACGTATTGCTCCTCTGTGTTACTTTTTCAGTAAAGTTCACACTTACTTTTACAGCATGAGAAGCTTCTGTATTAAGTGATTATGCTTTGTCTTTCTAAACTACTGTGACTTCAAGTTGCATAGTATGGAAATATTTTTTACAAAGCATATGAGATCAGAGGGTCCTTATTCAAAACTATTCCTGGAAGTTGAACTGAAAGCACAGGTTAAATTAGTTTTACAATTGAAAGTAATTGAAAGATGTCTTCTTCCTTTTGCTTCAAAAGGATTTTTGCAAATTTCCTTTTAATTTTGAAGGAAATTTAACGACAACAGAAGGTGCTGAAGTGCAAAATTGTTTTGTTCATATTCTCTATACCTTTTAAGCAAACAGCTCTCAGGCTGCATATTGAGGTCCATTTTAGTGTTACTAGAAGCCCATACAACTGGGCAAATACAACTTATTCTGAAATACTGTCAAAAACAGTGGGAAGTATGAGTGAGATTTTGTATACTATACTCGTAAAGTAAGTATAGGAAGTAAGAAAAAGAATTATTTTCTTTCACCTTTCAGTCTATGCTGTAATGACTGGCTAAATGTTTGATAGATTAGGCTTTTGCATAATTTACATTAATAACTGTGTAGATGCTCCAGGAGGCATTATGCTTATGTTTAAAAGATCATGAATTAAATATGTCACTTATTTCAGAAGCAAATAGTTCAGTATGTTTGAGAAGCAAATAGTTTAGTAATCTGAAGTAGCTATATGTGTATATTTTAATGTATCTTTATAGTGTTCAAGGGGAACATTGGAATACATATTTGGACAATGTGAACTGGCGCTTCAGAATTTGCAGACTGACCTGGATTCAATGGCTTTATCTTTGAAATCACTGGAAGCTGCTATTATTAAGCAAGCAGAAGAAATACATAATGAGGTGAGATGATCTGCACTGAAAATACTTCAGCCAGGTTCTGAGAGGTGCATTGTGCTCCTGGAGTTAATTGCAGTTAAGTGTGTTCAGCTGCTCACAGGGCATTGCTCTGTACCGGTTTGAAATGTGGGGGTGGTGGCTTGGCTTAGGTACAGTAATTGGGGTTAACTTGGATTGATTCTTTCATCCCCATGAAGTTTTCCTTTTTCCGTTATAAAATCCCTCTGCTGGTAGAGTACAAGAGTGGTTTCAGTAGTACTACACCAAATCTGGTGGTGCAGTGAATGAACCAAACTACTCTAATGCTTCTCTAACAGAAAAGGAAAGCTGAAAAAACTCAGAGGGGAAAAAGCAGGTAAAATTTTTCAGTTATTCCTCAGGTGTTGAACCAGATTTTTACAGAATGCCAGGTGTGACACAGTTGTGAATATGTGCTTTAAAGTTTATTCTGAAGAAAATACAGTGGAAACAACTGTGGGGAACATATCTAAATGGGTTGTTCTGTCCTACAACATAGGCAAGTGTAACATGAATTTTCACAGGATTCCACTGAAGTTGGCAGTGCTTTCTGGCTAGAAGTACATATCAGGAGTCTTAACAAGCACACTGATTTGACAAATCAACTAAAAATACCGGACAATATTTTGGGAAACTCTGTAAATGGGTTATTTTTCCTGTGGTATAAATGTAGGCAGTATAGCAAGAAACGTATTTTGGCTTATTCTCTTGTAGTGGGTAGAGTCAGGAGTTTGACACAGTGGACTCTGTCTTCTTACAAGGGTAGTGCTTCTGAAGATGGTAGATTTAGTACTTCCTCATTTTTTTCTTTTAAAGCTGCAGAAAATGTAGTCAAGGTGATGTGTTAGGAGTTTAACATGTCAGACTATTTAGCTGATCTGGAAGACTGTTCTTTACAGTTAGTAAAGCACTCATCTCTCTTTGAAAACAGCTATAGCAACCAGTTAACACAAACTTCTGAACCACTTTTCGCTTACATACCAGTGGTTTTTACATCACGCATGTATTCATTTTGAAGGAGCTGTGCTCTCTTTCTACAAAGTATGATCACTTTGAAAGCTGTGTAGTACCTAGGTAATTTTCACTCAAATTAGAAGTTGTGTAAACTGTGTTTAAATTGCTATCTGCTGGGAAATATACCATTGTATATTGCTAGTAAAACTTCAGAGAGCACATTTTTATCTGTATTGTGTTTACAGTTGGTAAAATGGAGCATAGTGATGGCAAAAGATCTGCACCCTTGACTTTTAGCAAAACAGCTCCTAGAGCAATTTGAAGAAGTTTGATGCATGCAGGGTTTTAGAAAACATTAATCAGGCTCAGTCCATAAAACTACACGCGTATGTGGTTTGCACAGCTAGGGCCACATGCACAGCTGGTGTAAATTTGCACCGGTCCTTTAACATCAAAGACATGTGCCTTTTACATCAGGTGAGAGACTAGCCCCTGGTGTTTGCAGTCACCTGAGTAATTTTGCTATGTGACATACAGGGATGTTTCCTGTTACGCATATGGGATATACTGTAACAGAAATCATTGTTTAACTTGTACATATTGCACTCTTAGACTTAGTGGACACATTGGATCTATATTTCATTTGAAAAAAGAGTGCCCGCTCACCTCTTTTTAATTTTTTCTATCCCAGGGTCACCTCTTCAGTTGAAGGATAAATTCCGTATGTCAGAGTGCTGCTTACATTTCATGAATTTCCTGCACAAGTAGACAAAATCACTAGTGGCTTCTCACTGTGGTAAATGCACCTTTCTCTTTTGAACATCAGTGAAATAAAAACATACAGATCTGTGAGGCTAATGCAACCTTTTTTTTTTTCTTTGCATATAAAAGCTTCCTACTTTCTTTTACTCACTGTATGATAAATTTTGTATTTTCAGGGTTCAAATTTTCTCAGGCAGGTAAAGTACAAGAGCGTGTTTTCTTTCTTTATAGAATCAAACTGTTCAGTAATGAAAGTCTATTTGATCAGTATGGGCAGGACTTGGTCATTTGTTTGTGGTTTTTGTTGTGTTTTGTGGTTTTTTTTTCCCTTAGTTTGTTAGTATTTTTAAATGCAAAAGAGAAAATTGTACAAAAAACCCAAACACAGAAAAAATTAAACTGCCACACAATTTAGCCTATGTGTTTATGTCTGATACATGGATTTCTGTGCTAGTTCTAAACCTCCTTGTGGACTTTTCTCTATTCCTTTGGGCCACAGATCATGAGCTTGAAGTTAGGTAGTATTCCCATCTCTAGAAGGGGTGATGCAGTTGTATTTTATTTTCCAGATATTATCATAACGAAGCTCATCCTAGGGTTTAACTCAGATAACTAGATGCAGCTATTGTTCTAGATCCTTTATCTTCCTGAAATGCTGTGGGTTTGGGTTTCCTGCTGCTCTTGCTGACACTTCTGAATAAGTCATTGGAGATCATTAACTGGATACAAAACCATCACAGTACTTTCAGTCTATGTGTGACTAAGCCAAAATATAGTAGTTCAGCTCAGATTCACAGTCTGTGCTGAAATTAAGTGTCCTGTCAAATAAGGACTTAGATGAATTATCTGTGTCTGCTAGAAGGAAAAAGCTTAAGAGCAAGTCTGAAAGAATGAGGTATGATTCCGTGCCTTCATCTTTGTGTTTCTGGGCAGGAAAATTGACTTGCACTGCTGATAAACTGAGTTTGAAACAAAGATCTGAAGCATAGGTGGAGACTTAGCTTTTTCCATTTTTGTGGTGGGCAGAGAAACCTCTAAAAGAGGTATGGGTGAGTATGTGGGAGATGTTTTTACTGATCTTAGATTTCCCAGAGTTCATTTATCCTGTCTTGGATGCTTGACAGAGGTATTCCTGTTGAAAAAGTTGCTAACCTGGGGAGGTTTTCAGCATCTCTAGTGGGCAGCCAGGTAGAAGTTTATTGAGACTTAGGTTTGTTGTCATGGCCTCCCTCACTAAAACATCCTTCAAAGTAATATTTGAGTAATCGCAAGGTGTATGTGTTGTTTGTTAGAAGTGTGAGTCACTTCACTACCAGTATGTACTTTGTAGTTGTGAGGATAACCCTAATTAAGGGTGTTCATGTGCTGCTTGCCTGAGTAGTTTGTGGGCTTGAAGGCTGAACATGTACTTCAAGGGCAGGGTATCCAGTGGACAGTGTAGCTGGGTGAACAGAAGTAGTTACCTGGGCGGCTGTGAAGTATTATAGCCTAGCAATTCATTAATAGCATTAGAGACTGAAGTTACCTCTTTAAGCAATGAGATTGACACTTTACTTTCCAGAATACATACGGTGGCTGGGTATGTCCCAAACAGAGCTACAGAGGACCTGGGGAAACACACTGGCAAGTAAATGCTTTTTAAAGTAATAAAACACTGCTGGACAGATGATGTAAATGCTTATACATGTAAAAAGAAATCTGCAGAAAAGATCATTGCCAGCCTGTTCTTCATATTTCAAAGAAAATTTGTTTTCCTTGCTCAGAGTAATGCAAAAGCTGGTGACAGCTTATAATGTGTGAAGTAGTTTCAAGGCTTCTTTATTTGCCAATACCAAACTAATAATTGGATGTTCACAATGAGGTAAAAAACTAGAGGAAGGGATTTTTTTAGCATCTGGGGATTGTGTTGATAATGTAGCAGGTTTCAAAGTAAATAGTCAAGTTTGAAAAGGTAGGGGTTTGTCCTCATCAGGGTTTTTTCACAGCTGTGATTATCAGCCCTGATTTACCGTGATTGAACTTTAAGACTGAATCGGTTGCTCTGTTGTTTGAGAATAACTGGCACTTCTCAAAGGGATGCACAGGGATGTAGAGAAGCCTGGGCTAGCCAAGTTTAAGGTGTATGTTGTTAGGCATTGGGGTGATTGCAAAGGAAGGTTAGTATGTTTTAGCACTTCATCGTGAGCTGACAGTGTGGTTGGTGGCTGGCTAGTACAGAAAAGAGAAAATATAGATCACCTACATGTGTGGCATTTAATAACCAATACTTTTAAATAATTGACTGAGGAGCACTGGCTCACAAAATGTCAAATGCTACTGTTGGCCTTTTACCACCCAGTATTGACTATAACCTAAAACTGGCCTTTAATCATTGTTTAAAGGACAACTTTAAAATATGTTGAGATTAGATATATGAGTTCTGATTCTGAGCTTACTTGCACAGATAGAAGTCATAAGTGAAAATGAATTAGATGAACATTATCCTTCAAGCACTCAGCATATATGTTTTTATATGTTTATACATTTAAAGTTCTATATTAAGCTCTGTCCTCTTCAGTCATGTAAAATCTTTCCAATGATAAGTAAAGTTTGCTCTGATGCATGGCAGTCTCCAAATAAAAACTTTTTTGACAAAATCTTTGGCAAGAGCTGTTAAATTCTTTTGTTTCTGTAACTTCCATTCCACTAAGGCTAGAACTGAGCTTTTTGGCTCTCTCCAGTATTTACTGTTGTGGAATTTTTTACTGGTACAGCTAGCAGGAGGGTTCATTCAAAGATGCAAGCCACCAGGAGTGCCTTCCTGCTATGGGAAAAGGTATTACTGAACAGAGTTCAATTAAAGCAAGAAGACATACAGATTTTAAGAGAACTTGGAAAGTTTATAGCATATGTTTTTGTCAAAACGTGTACTTAATAATAGAGGTGTTGTAAGAAGAGTTTGTGTTAATTATAAATACCACACAAACTTAGCATAACTGAAATTTCTTGAGATTTTTAGCAAATCTAAGAGTTTATGCTTGCATATATCTAAAAAACAATAGAGTGAAGAGAAATCATGTCACCATTGCCTAATCAAGATGATTCTTTTTTTCCCCCCAGAATCAACAGTTACCTGTTCAGAGGTGGTAGTTCAGAGCAGTCACTTGCCAAGCAGCTTGATTGCTAAGTTGGTGGGTGAAACACCGGTTTTCTCCCCTATCCCCATTTTATTAACTCAGTTTAGAGCTCAGTGGGAGCATAGTGAGAAAAACGTGGACCTGAGTTTGAGAGCCCTCCTAAATAGTAGTCCGCATTGTTAAATGGCCGCATGTTGCAGGTTGGTACATGGACCAGCTAATCCTGCAGAAAACTAACTAGCCTGTTGCTAAATTTTACCTCTTACACTTAAAGAGCAGCTGTTCTGTGTCAGGTTGTGTATTCTGTGTAGGATCAAGATACATTTAAAGTTTGGACAAGATGCCAGGCTTGAATTAGACTGAAATTACATTGATTAATGTAACAGATCAACATGACTAGTCAAAAATCAGACTGACTGAAATATTCGTGTCACAATGTGCTGTATTATAACACTGATTTTAAATTTTAATTTCTTGGTTACTGGCCTCATGTGATTCATTTCATGGAACCTGTTTGCCAGACATCATGAGGTAGAGGCCAGCAAAACCAAAAAGAAGGAGGAGGGAGTAAAAAAGTATCAAGTGGTTAAACCTCTGAATGACTGTTGGTATGCGCAGCCTTCCCGAATCTGTGTGATTTTCTTTAACAAACCATCACGTAATCACAGTATCACAGTATCACAGTATGTTAGAGATTGGAAGGGACCTCAAAAGATCATCTAGTCCAATCCCCCTGCCGGAGCAGGAACACCTAGATAAGGTTACACAGGAACGTGTCCAGGCGGGTCTTGAATGTCTCCAAAGAAGGAGATTCCACAACCCCCCTGGGCAGCCTGTTCCAGTGTTCCGTCACCCTCACTGAGAAGAAGTTTCTTCTCAGGTTTAAGTGGAACCTCTTGTGCTCCAATTTGTACCCATTACCCCTTGTCCTTTCATTGTTTGCCACTGAGAAGAGCCTGGCTCCATCCTCGTGACACTCCCCCTTTATATATTTATATACACTAATAAGGTCACCCCTTAATCTCCTCTTCTCCAAACTATAGAGACCCAGCTCCCTCAGTCTTTCCTCATAAGGGAGATGCTCCACTCCCTTAATCATCTTAGTTGCCCTGCGCTGGACTCTCTCCAGCAGGTCCCTGTCCTTAAACTGAGGGGCCCAGAACTGGACACAATATTCCAGATGAGGTCTCACCAGGGCAGAGTAGAGGGGAAGGAGGACCTCTCTCGACCTACTAACCACCCCCCTTCTAATACACCCCAGGATGCCATTGGCCTTCTTGGCCACAAGGGCACAGTGTCGGCTCATGGTCACCCTGTCGTCCACCAGGACCCCCAGGTCCCTCTCCCCTACACTGCTCTCTAACAGGTCGTTCCCCAGCCTATACTGGAACCTGGGGTTGTTCCTGCCCAGATGCAGGACTCTACACTTTCCCTTGTTATATTTCATCAAGTTATTCCCCGCCCAGCTCTCCAGCCTGTCCAGGTCCCTCTGGATGGCAGCACAGCCTTCTGGCGTGTCGGCCACCCCTCCCAGCTTAGTGTCATCAGCAAACTTGCTGATAGTACACTCAATTCCCTCATCTAAATCGTTGATGAATATATTAAATAATACTGGTCCCAGTACCGACCCTTGAGGCACTCCACTAGATACAGGCCTCCAACTAGACTCCGCCCCATAGACTACAACTCTCTGGCTTCTCTCCTTCAGCCAGTTCACAGTCCACCTCACTACCCGATCATCCAGACCACACTTCCTCAATTTAGCCGCAAGGATGCTGTGGGAGACCGTGTCAAACGCTTTGCTGAAGTCGAGGTAGACCACATCCACCGCTCTGCCATCATCCATCCACCGTGTTATTTCCTCATAAAAGGCTACGAGATTGGTCAAGCATGACTTCCCCTTGGTGAAGCCATGTTGACTGCCCCTCATAACCCTCTTATCCTTGATATGCTTTAAGATGGCACCAAGGATAAGGTGTTCCATCACTTTCCCAGGAATGGAGGTGAGGCTAACCGGTCTATAGTTACCCGGGTCCTCCTTCTTGCCCTTTTTGAAGACAGGAGTGACATTTGCTTTCCTCCAGTCCTCAGGCACCTCTCCCTTTTCCCAAGACTTGGTAAAGATGATGGAGAGCGGTCTATCAATGACCTCAGCCAGTTCCCTCAGCACCCGCGGGTGCATCCCATCTGGACCCATGGATTTATGGATATCCAGATTGCTCAACTGGTCTTTAACCCATTCCTCATCGACTAAGGCAGACCGCTCCGTTGACCTATCTTCATCCGGGGTCTCAGCGGTACAGGGCTCTTCAGGACCGCCTCCAGCAGAGTAGACAGAGACAAAGAAGTCATTCAGTAGCTCTGCCATCTCTGTATCTTCTGTCACCAGGGCACCCGTCCCATTCATCAGCGGGCCTACATTGCCTCTGGTGTTAGTTTTACCTGCCATGTATTTGAAAAAGCTCTTTCTGCTGTCCTTGACCCCTCTTGCCAGCTTTAATTCCAAGGAGGCCTTAGCCATCCTAGCAGCTTTCCTACATCCTCTAGCAGCAGCCTTATATTCTTCCCAAGTGGCCAGCCCTTCTTTCCATGACCTGTAAACTCTCCTCTTCCACTTGAGCATACCCAGCAATTCCCTATTTAGCCACGCAGGTCTCCTGACCCTCTTCCTTGACTTCCTACGTGTCGGGATGCTCCGATCTTGAGCTCGGAAAAAGCAGTCCTTGAACGTCAACCAACTATCTTGGGCCCCTTTCCCTTCAAGCAGCCTAGCCCACTGGATTTCCCCTAGCAAACGCTTGAAGAGGCCAAAGTTTGCCCTGCTAAAGTCCAGGGTTGCGATTCTACTTGCTATTCTAATCATTTATACTTTGTTAATACTATAGAGGAAGCAAACTTTGCCTCAGCTTTTTTTAGGAAGTTGTCATCAAACTTCTGTGTTCAAAAGTCACTAGGCTAGCCGTCAGGTTTTTGAAAAATACTTTAAGATCTATGGCTGCCAACTGATAATTTCATTATATTTTTACTAATAAAATTGCTTCAATATTTTTTATACACTGCAAATTTAAGTATCTTTACTGTAACCTTTAACATACATTGACCAAACATTTAGTTAGTGTTACCTGTAACACTTTCAGATTTCTGTAGGCTTTCTGTTCCCCCATGCAGGAAAGAAAGCATCAGGTGACAGCTTTGGGCAGTTTTCTTTATTTTTTCTCTGTGGCAGGTTGTGTTTGTTGGCATCGTTGGAGCTGAGCAGGGGTAAACAAAAACTTATTTGTGGTATAAATAATGATTAAAGCAGCTTTGAACTCTATGTGAAATGTAACTACCACAACAAAGATAAATACAGAATTCTAAAGACCGGAACTATAGATTGCTATTAAAGGAAAAAAGGCTCAGTGGAAATGAGGATAAATGTCATTATTTTCTTAAAGAATATTTGATGAGTTACACATTTGTACTATGTTTTAGTAAGCTAATATTTCTCTTAAAGTTGATGGCCATCTGTGTACAATTTTTCAAAAACATGAACTAATGAAATATTACATCATTTGCTGCATTATTCTAAATAAAACTATTAGCTTGCTCCTGATGGAATTTTTATTGCTTCAGTAGGGGATTTGTTTTCTTTGTAAAGCATGGTTTACACAAAGCTTCATCCTAGAGAAACCTGTTACTTTGAATGCCCCTGAAAGCTGGGATCTGCTTTTCCACTCCTGGTAGGTACGCATTGTGCTGTGCTGGAGGGTTTAGCTGAATGGGAGATTGGGCATGGGAGTCATGAGCCATTTCGGCCACCCCATTTTCCCACAGGTCTGCCTCCTCAGGCCGCTTTCATGTCTTGGGTGGACACCCAGTCAACCCAAAGGTTATTGATAGCTAATCTGGTAACCAGATAGTTCAGTAAACTATGATTCATTATAATGCCGTGCTCTCATTCTACACCAATTGGCTAGACTGTGTTCCAGCAATTTTAATATTGCAAGCTTTTTCAGTCTTTTGTATGACTGAAATGTTTTGAAACCCACAATCAAAGTAAGCCAGGGTTGTTACGGGTTTGCCTGAATTGTGTTTAAACCTGAGCATCTAATCTTTATTGTACATGTGCCACATACAAGGAAAAGAGTGAAGTTTTGGACCACTCTGATTTGAAGGGGGTAGCTCAGGTCACAGATTCATGTGGAATAGAAACAAAGGGGTGTGTGAAACGGTGCATTTAGAAATGAGTACTTTGTTAACAATCTCCTTTTCTTTTGGGTTATTCGCAAACAGTTGGATTTATGCACTAACCCATAGATGTTTATTCTACCATGTGTTTTTATCTTGCAGGTTGAATTTGAGTGGCTTAGGCCGTTTTGGTTTCAAGGCAAGCGGTATTTGAAGTGCACTGATTGGTGGCTTAAGCCTATTGCTAAGTTAGAAGAATTTTGGAGAAAAATGGAGATTATGGTAAGTACTGGTTTTATCTTCTAAAGCCTCTGGAGCTTAGTTCTGAGAGCACTCACAATTATGTTTTTAATTGTACTACAGTAACATGTTTTAAACTTTATTCAGAACATATGAAAAGTAGAATCAATGTCAGCCTTCCACTTTCTCCTCTCACTTTTCTCCTGCAGTAGTCAGAAGAAATGTGAGCAAATCAAGATCAGAAACTCCCAAGATTTATTTCCTGACTTTATTTCTGAAGTTTGACAGCCTCATACCATGACAGTCACATACTAACATCACATGAATTGGTACATGAAACAGTGCATTGTCAACTTTGTCACACAACAAGCAAGATTAGCAACTCTGCCAATGACAACAGTGGTGAATGCATCTGAGGAAAGCTGAGACTCAAACTGATAGTCTGGAGGTACAACTATCTGTCTGTAGCCCACCTGCACACTTACACCACAGCTAGAACCAACAAGGAGAGATCATAATTTCTCAAATAATTGTGGTGATTCTGGTTTCTGTGTACTGAAGGTACATCCCTCTTTCCTTGAAAACAGACTCAGTGACCAGTGCTGTTGGCTTCCTTATTGTTGCTGTCCCAAGTAGAAACTCAACTGGGAGACTTTGCTGGTGAAGTGTTTGATACAATTGTCAGCATGCCTGCTTCTAGATTTGTGCATGGAGTTAATATTGAAAGGTGTGCCTTGCTCATATTTATAGGTCTGCATTAGAAGCTCCTTCCAAGTTATTCCTCCTCATCACAGCATAAGTCTCAATTTACAGTTAGTTGCCTTGAAAAGTTCATAATGTAACTGAGGATGCTGAATATGATTTGTAGTAGAGGTGGTTTTGAATCTCTGGAGATACGGTTCTGAGGGAAATGTGACATGCTAAGCTGCTCCGGAGTACTGTAAGCTTCTCCAGCAACGCCTGGTTTTGGACATAAGTGTGGAAAAGTGCAACTGTAATTTGTGAAATCACTTGCCACAAGGACTCAGTGAACATGAAACTTTCCTTACAAAAGGGAGAAATTACTAATAACTTGTTTATGTGGTTGGTTTTGTTTTTTTTTTTTTTTTTCGCGTCATTTTTGTTCTTACGTGCTCATATTCTCGAATGACCTTTGTGAGTTAAAAAAAGTCTTTTGGTTTGTTTTTCTTTCAAATGACAAGTTACTCTTTTGTAACACAGGCTTAGATGAGGTAGAGACAAGAATGTTTGATTGTTACTTTATATCCATTGTGTGTTGAGAACATGGCAAAACAGCAAACTCAGGAATTCTCAAGGGTTAGGTTTTCTGCAATTGGTGTGACATTACCATGTGTCTCTAATTAGAAACATGGTGGCGTCAGTGTATCTCCTTTCAACAGGCCTCAGGATGATATTTATCAGCAAACTGAAGGTTTGGCCAAGACAGAAGCTGCTTCTAATTTTAAAATTGCTTTAATGTTATATGACTTATAACATATTAATCACAATTAATTTCAGCTATTGAAGGAGACAGAAGAGAATGTTAATTAAGAATGTCTGTTTAGTTGAGTCTCTAAGTAAATTTGATGCTTACTGTATTTGGGACTTAGAGGTAGGCTGAAGTTTTGGGGATTTAACCTGCGTTTAGTCCTTTAGTGTTTCATAAAATGACAGTAGGGGGCAATGTTGAGCCGCAGTTTTAATGCAACAACAGGCACTGACTTAATAAAAATACATAGAAATGTAGCATTAACATCAAGAATTATCCCTGTTGCTTCAAGTTAGCTGTAATCTCTAAGATTCCATAACACAGGAAATCAATTGTGGGTTAACAAATTCAACAGCAATTTAACATAAAAAGTGCAGTGTTTTGGTGCATGCCTAGCTTCCACAGCATTAAGTTAAATCAAAAAGGTATTTCTGAAGGTACCCAGTAGTCTACAGTCAATGGGTTTTTTTTCTCCAGATTTGTAATTTTAGCTGAAAGATTTTTTAGCAAGAAAAAAAAAAGTCAAAATGCTAAAAATAAAAATGTCTTAGAATTGCTGTTTTTTTTTCAGAAGCATATTTTTGCTTAAGAGGAATTATTTCTTAGATGAAAATACTTAAGCAATGTATTTGTCTTTCTTTCGTGTGAACTGAACAAGTCTTGACTTACATATATATTTTATATATATGTCTAGAGTGTTTCTAAAATTGTTTCTGATTATGCTAATTGTAATTACTCCAGTGTCATAGCAGAAAATGATACTGCAGGAAGTTTAACCCAGTGTCTTCAAACCTTTGGGCTTTTTTAAATATTTCTGTACATTATAGCAAGCACACAATTTTATCATAATGTTTATTCCTGGCATTTCTTTCCCTGAGGATAGTTTTACTTAGAGCTTGCTCTTGTGATGTAAATGTTAAACCTTTCATTTGAATGACATTCTGATAAAACATCACATTTCCCACAATATTACCTCATGAGTTTATGAACTATTAAATCCAAAGCAGTTTAACCAATCTTCTTGTCTTTTCTCCCCTGCCTTGAAAATATGAAGGCTATTCAAATGTTTGAGGTTGGTTTTTTTTTTTTTAAAAGTCATCCAAGATTAACACGTTATCATCTGCAACATCAGCATAAATGCTTGCTGAATTCAAAGGGAGAGTTACCATTTGAAAAAAGACTGTACAAGCTTGGCTTTCTGGGTAAAGAGAAGTCTGAAAAGCCGAAATCTCATGTGATGTGAGGAAGTCTTGCTGTAGCTGTTCTGAAATTCAGTGGAGAGACAATTTGTCTCTCAGGGTCTGATATCATGCAAACCTTGCAATCTGACATTTATTTTAGCTACGGAAATCTTTAACACCATGGCAAATCAGAGAGAACTGCAGAAGTTCTACAGTCTTTTTATGTTTTTTTTGTTTTAGGTTGATTCACATACAAGTAAGTAAAAGGTAAATCAATTAAATGCTTTTTTGCTTGCAAAATGAAAAGTAAGCACACATGATTATGCTTCAGTGTCAAACCTTTAAAGACTATTTTAACATACCTACTGTTCCTTTAAAAAAAGAACAACAGAATAAAACAAATGAAGACCCTAGTAGTGCTATATGGCGTGAATTGTATTTCCTGCTTTGACAGTCCATTTAGCAATGTAGCAACGTATTTATATGGTGGTTGGCCTTAATAACCTTTATTGACTTTAGTGGGTAAGAGCCAAGACTGGGATTATTAAAATGTATCAGTTTCATTGCAGTATAAAATCACAACATATATAATTATGTTAGGTAGGCTTGGCTCCATTTAATCCCACCTATTTATGCAGGAGTTTGGCAAGATGAAAAAAAACATATAACTAAAATGTAGAGAAAAATATGACTGATTTGGAATTATATTTAAAAGCCTAACCATTTGCCTACAATAAAGACCTTACTTAAAAGAATGAAACATAGATCTTAAAGAGCTAATTTTTCATGGTGCAGCTGAAACACAAGTCATTGTTACACAATTTGTTTTGCTTTTTGGCATCCCAAAATACAGCTAATAATAATGAAATGCAGCACACCCTTTAATTTATAACTACAGTGTAAAAGCAGAAGTTGCACATTCTGTAGTTAAAGAGAGCAAAGTGGCATTTTGTGCAAATGTATATCTTTCTGTACAACTTTCATCTTGATTTGGAAAACTTCTTTTAAACTATTTTTACTAGTCATGTTTTTCCTGTTATTCTCAACAGCATGCTTTTATCAATTTATACAACTAAACTGAAATCAAAGAGCAAGACTATTTTCTTGTAAAAATTGTTTTCTTTTGTTTTTGAAGTCTATTTCATTATTTGCTGCTGTTGCTACATGTGAAGTATGTCATAGCTTCGGCTGTAAACCACTATTGTCAGGGGCTTACCAACCTGACAGGATTGAGTCTACGCTGAAACTTGAGCTACAAAATCTCAGCCCAGGGCCATAACTATTTTTTATTATTATTATTTTTTTTTATTTTTCCCATCAAATTAAAACAAGGTTTAAATATGTATTTAAATCAGAGCGTTTAAATTCTAGAATAACCATGAAAAGCTATAAGACAAAGTATGCTTTTAAGGGGAATCCTAGCTTTTGTAGATTTTGGCACTTTAAACAGGAAACCAATTACATTTAAAAAAAAACAGATAATGCGATCACAAACAGGGTGGTTTGTTGTTGCCTTTTTCAGAAAATGTAGAGCAGCTAAACTGACATTTTAATTGATTTGACCTTGTCAGGCAAAATTCAAGAAATTCCAAGGTACTATTTTAATTTCTCTTTTAGTTTTCCTGTTGTGCTTAGATATTGCAGTGTCACACTCCTTTCTCGGAGGGCCATGTGGTGACGAACGATCGTATTTGCCTAATGAGCTGTGAAATTTAGGCACAACATGGCAGCTCAAAGACCCAAATTTTAGCCATATTTCTTGTCTTTTGAGGTTCTTCTTATCTATTATTCTTATCTATTACTTATTGTTATTTAGGCCAGACCCTTTCAATAAATGTGTTTTGGGCAGGTTATATTTTATGTACACTGGGAGTCAGATGTTTCTGGAAATGTACCTTTTATCTTAAACAACAACAGCAATAAAATCTCATCCGTAAGACTTTTTTTTTTTTTTTTTAGTACCAATTTGCTTGACCCCAATATTTTTAGCTGTCAGAAATGGGAGAAAGGATTCAGCGTCATGTGCAGTAGAACTGCTACCAATCTTTGTTGTTTTGGTTTTTTTTTTTTAAGGTAAAGTTATATTGCACATCAGACAAAAATATTTACAATTCTGAGGGAATTCAGACTTAAGCTTCCAAAACAACGTGTGTGCTGAAAGCACAAAGGACTGTGTTTATGATTCTCTTTGAAGTGTTTTTGCAACAGGATAAGGAAAATTTTAGAAACTGTCTGATAGTGTTCAGGGTAAATACTTAAACCCCTTTAGAGAATTTCACACACAGATACTGTGCAGCAGAAAAAAGGATACTTATGTTTCCTAAAGCTGCTACAGCCTACAGCTTTGTACTTAAAGACAGAGGTGTTGAATA